CTATACACCTGAATCCAAAGTGGTCCCATAGGATCTTCTTGCCTAATACATTCATATCTATTGCAATATGAATTCTTTTATTATTGCTATACGGCTAAACACATAAATTCTTTTGTCTTGAATAATTTACATTTAATACCTTTAAAAAAAAAAACCTTCGTGTTACTGACTTATGCACAGCTCAAATCTCACAGTCCTTTATATTGAATTGGTTGCTAGGGTAAATTTTTGTTGCTGATAGCAGAGGGTTAGTTCTGTCTTGTTATAGTTGTGCTTTGGTTTGGTTTGAAGAGTCAACAGCAAAAATTTATTAGATACCTGGTTATTAGTTTTGGGGCTTCCTCCCACCACCACTGATATCAAAAAGGTTCACACCAAAAGTGTGTAAAGAGTAATCAATTAAGAGGCCAGAAATCGCAAAAGGGAAAGTCTCCCTCCCCCTCCCAACATCCCCCCCAAAAAAGCACTTCACGTTTTATCTTGCAATGTATCGTATGATTTCTTCTAAATAAATAGATTTACATTTTCAAATATAGCTTACTTAGCCTAGTATAACATTAGTTTTCATTTGTGGAGCACATAGTGGCAGAAAGGTAGGAAGCTAGCCTGCGTCCTAGGCATGCGGACAGGCCTGTAATGCAGCCACACCTCACACCACGAGGAAGGGAAGTATGATGCACAGCAGTGACAGCAGCCGGTGCAGCACCTTCTACAAGCACTAGACCACATATCGGGCCCTATCATCAACTCACCAACACAGCACCCACCACATGAAATGAAATCTACAATCGTGGGCCTTGGGGCTCTCGTTCAGAACAGATGTTTGATGTATGTAGTATATAAATATTTCCAAGTCTAGTAGTGGTTATCTGCACAACTAAACATCTGTTTCTACTCACATTTTTAAATATCCCCTTTGAGAACTTTATAACTTGGGTGTTAGGATTACCACAGACTGAGATTTAGAGATTTAAGAAATAAATGCTTCCATTCCTGTTTCTCACGTTGAAGCTCTTTTCTCAATGTCATGCCATACGAGATGTGTTTTCAGAGCTCTTTTCAGACTCTATTAACATACATAATTACCTTCAACTTTACAAACCAAATTTTCTAACTAACATAGTCAGTGCCATGAGTTTATTTCTCTGAAAAAAGAATCAGGGACAAGTGCACAAGGCAATAGAAAGAACTACTTCAATATTACTTATACTTCCAAATCTCTCTGTATGACCTGACCAAATCTTCTCGTGACTTTATTTTTCTGTTAGCAATAAAGGGTAACAAGTCCTGCCACATAGCTCACAGGGAAGAACTCAAAGCCACTGAGCGAACAATTCCCCTGGAAAGACTGCATTCCTTGCAGAACCATAAACTTGGTGTAGTTACTGGTACTCGGCTCCGTTCAGCTCTATAAATATACCTTCCGAAGCCAAATTAGAGGGGTTCACTTACTTGAACATTCATTCATTCAACAAATAATTATAAGCACTCGGTACGTGTCAGACACTATACGAGGCACTGGGGATACAAGGGTCGGCAAGACAAATACAGCGCCTGCTCTTCACAGTACATCTTAGAGAAGCCATGGTTAAGCTTATGCGACTTCCATCTAGTTTACAGGCCCAGGGCTCAAATCCCTTTGACTTATAACTACTCATAATTATAATTATTCACCATCGCTCCACTCTGCTCCTAAAAAATGGAGATCACATGAATTACAAGAAAAGTTCAGGGAACACACAAGACAAATGCTCTATAATATGAAGACCTCACAGAGGTCAAAAATATCACCTAGTAAACACCTTATAATCTATTAACAAGAAGCACAGTTAGGCCCTAGGGTATGAATCAAGATTTTTCTTTTAAAGGCAGAGTAACCATAGCCTAAACATTTACCTGTCAAGTACTAGCCTTACCCATAAAAAATCCTTCATAGCTGTGCTATCCAATATCTTTGCCACTAGCTAGTGGTGGCTTTTACACTGAAATCAACTAGAAAATCAGTTCCTATGTCACACCAGCCACACTTAAAACTCTTCAGCTGGCCAGTGGCTATTACTTGAGGTCATTATAATCATACCGGCATAGATCATTTCTGTCATCTCAGAAAGCTCGACCAGACAGTGCTGCTCTATAAATACCCTTGTAACACTAAATCTAAAACTCACAGCGCAATGAAACGTGATTAAGCATCTATACTCTGTTATGGCACATAAAATATGTCCATCTGTAATGTAGTGCCCTTTCTTCCTTCCTAAACAGGCTGAAAAATGAGGATGTTGAGCATCTGTCCCAGTGTACAGAAGTAGGCAAGAAAATTCATGCTGTCCAGTTGGCCAATTGAGAATGAAATTCGGAAACAAGTGAAAATTGATTACATTTTGTTCCTTCGTTTTGTTCCTTTCACAAGATCATGTCCACAATACTTCCGTATTGTTAAAAGATGTATGCTGGGAGCCTAATAAGCTAGGAGCAGAGGAAACAAAGACAGTTAAGAATAAAGACGGGTGACATAGGCAAACACCACATATAACGCAACACAAATTCAATTCAGACCTACACAATAAACTTACGTGCCTACTGTGTCCCAGTGATACATGGATAAAGAATCATCGTTAGCACCTGACAAGCTGGATTTAATCAGTGTCTAACACATAAACAAAAATACCCTATGCTGTAATAAATTCAGCAACACAGGTATATACACAGCAAGCGGTAGGGAGGGTATTTATTTTAAATGTTTTCTGAGTGGAAACCTGGGGAAATTTCGTGAACTAGGTACTCAAGAAGCAGAGGAACAACCTATACAGAGCTGTGCAAAGGAGCCACAACTGCTCCACTTTGCTGGAGCAAAGTGCTCCTGGTAGCTAAGAAGGAAGGGGATGATGGGAGAAGGAGAGAGATTATTTCCATGCCAGACCCATGACACTCATGTTTGTGTCCCACTTGCCTCACGGGATCTACAAACTTTCCTAACCCAAACTGCAAGCAACGTGAAAACCAATCCCTAAAACTTGATAAGACGCCTATGCCTGCTTTACAGCTACCAATACTAGTGAGCGATCATTAGGAAGAACCCAAGCAAGGGGCTTCTGTGACCGCTCATGTAAATCCTTAGAAAGAATCTGCACCTTCCATTCCAGACTCTCCATAGCGTTTTAGAAACGCTATGCTCAAGCCTCAAAACAAGAACAGAAAAACTTCCATAGAATCTGCTCTCTTTTTATTACTAGGATCCCTATCTCTTCACGATAAACTTCATGTAAATATTTGCAGCCTTCAGGCCTTAACAAATTCACCAAGTGATTCTCCCCTCCCCCACAACAATCCCAGTAAAACTTTGCAGAGAAAAAATATATACAGAAACAGATGCACGTAAACTCGCGGGGTCATGGGCAAACACTTAAGTATTCCTATTCACACAAATACACGGCCCTTAGGTCAAAGCGTTATTTCCGATGCAGCATATTAATGGTCCAAAGCCGGAGGTCTGGAGTCAGCCTCCCCGGGTACTGATTAGGGATCATCTCTGACCAACTCTTACCTCCCCTCCTGAATTTCAATTTCCCAATGGGGATGACAATGTTTTACCAAGTATCCACACCTGCGTAGCCACAATGCAGACGGTGACCCATCCAGTGACAGATCAATACGTGTTAACTACCTCAGCTATATTTACTATTTCCTCCCTAAAGATGGATGGTTTCACAAACATCTATGTCATCAAGCCGGCGACTTCTGCTAAGTTTTCGTCCCTCACGGTGCATCGAAAATAGAGAGGGTTTTTTTTTTTTCCCCCTAAATACTCCACCGTCCAGGCCCTATTTGGATTTGGGGTCAATTAATCTGTGATTGGGCCAAGCGTCGAGTTCTTTTCTCAAGCCGTTTATAATTTGCAGCCAGGATTAAGAACCACATGCAGGTCTCTATGTGCCCGTAGAAAATACACACGCCAGTAAGGTCTGCTCCATCCCGGACCGAACCAGCGCAGGCCGGGCCCCCACTCCCCCCACCACCGCCCGCCAGGGGGGACGAGGCTCGCCTAGACGCTGTGACGACGAACTCGAAGGGCGGTGGGATTCACACCCACGTCCGAATACGGCTCACGGGGCATCAACTCCCACGAACTCCACCAGATGCAGCCTCGACACCCTGCAGCACCGGGATCTGCCTGGGGCACACGCCCCCTCGCCCCGCCGCGGGCCCTCCGGACGCGTGCGTCACCGCGCCCTCGCCTCCCGCGCCCCAGCCCCCTCCCGCCCCTGGCACGTGACTCGACACGCGCCAGCTGCACGCGGGCTCCATCAAAACAAAAACAGAGGAGGCCGGCCGGCTGGGCGGCGGGGGCGCGCGGGGGCCGCGGGGAGCGGGCGCGCCCCCGCCGCCACCGGCCAGCGCCGCGGCCGCGCCTCCGCCGCTCGGAGCGCCGCCGGCCGCGCGCCCCGGCAGGCCGGGGGCGGGAGGGCAGAGGGCGCCACCCTGTTTACAGCCCTCGCTCGGGGCCGGGGACCCCGCCCGGAAACGGTCTCCCGGGAGAGGGCCGTGAAGTGCGCGCCCACCCGCGCCCGGGACGCCGGCCCAGCGGGGAAGGCGCCCGGCTCCGGCCGCCGCTGGGAATAAAACGGCCGCGTCGCGTCGACTCTGGGGCCGGGCAGGCGCGAGTCTCCGCTCTTCCGCGGTCCACCGCCCACGGCGGTCTCGTGTCCGCCCCCGGCACGACTGTGCTACGCACTTCACGCCCATCTCTCGGCTCCAGCGCTTCCGCAGACCCCCTCACGTGGCCGCCGCCTCCCGGCCAGGCACTCCCCCCGCGACAGGGGCTGCGGACCCTGGCGCCCTCCGGGACCCTGCGCCTGCTCCCACCCAGTGGGACTTCACCCCTGTCAAGACCACCCAGCCCACGCTCCAACCGGGCTGGGGGGGGGGGTGGCCACAAGCTGTCAGAAGCCTAGTTTTCCACATGACGAGGCTCACCCTCACCCTTAAACATCCCCACTCACCCTTCAGCTTAGCTTCGGGCTGAATCAGTATTTAAAACAGGAGGGGCGGGGTGTAACGTCTTGATTTTCTCCCTAATTAGCAAAAAAATAAAAATAAAAAAAATTAAGACGCAGCTCCGTCCGTCCACGTCGTCCCACCAAATGTAAGACTTACAAAACAGAAATGCCCACCACACACCTGCTACGCCACCAGCCCTCTGGAAACCCGGAGACCCGCCCGGCCCGCCCGCTGGAACCTGCGCGCCTGGGGTGGGGTCGGAGCGAGACCGTCCGGTCCCCTAAAGTGCGAGGGCGGGAGTGGGGCGAGCGCCCCCTCGCCCCGCCCAGGAGCGCCGGCCCCGGGTCCCCCAGGCCCAGGACGATGCAAGACAGCCTCCTTCCCTCCGGGCGAAAAGAAGGAGGTAGCCACCGGCCTGAGTGCCGGGGGGGGGGGGGGGGGGGGGTTTTTCCCCTTCAGAACCCAGACGCCGCGTCCTCCATAAGTACGCTCCCTCTCGCCGCCCGATTTCTAGTTGACAGCAAAGGTGGGGTAGGTGGAAGAAACCAGCGAGTGCTCTCCAGACTCGGGATGTTGGTCTCCGCGGAGCGAAGAGGTGGGATCTCGAAATGGAAACAGTCTCCCCCTCCCTCCCCTCCCTCCTCCTCCTCCTCCTCCTCCTCCTCTTCTGTTTACCTCAAGTTTGAATTTTATCTGCGCAACATTAGCTGGAATGCGGACATTGAAAACACACACACACTCTCTCTCTCTCTCTCTCAACCCGGCAGCGGCTCCGGAGGAGCCATGTGGCATCAAGCCACCTCAAAGGGGAAAAAAGTGCTCTTAGCAACACAAACATGGCGAAATCGCCTCGGTATTCCCGGCCAGCGCCACAACCCCTACCTTCCCTCGCCCCGCGGCCGAACATCCCGGCCGTGACCCCGCGGCCCCTTCCGGGGGGAGGCCAAGGGCCCCGGGGAGTCCGAGGGTGGGACCGCCGGGCGTGCGAGAGAGGAAATAACAGTCCACAGTGGAAATGTTTCTGCTGGACCATCCGACCCGTCCGCCTCGCCAGGAGCGAGGGGGCCGCCCTGTTCACCTCGAGACGGCTAAACGGGGAACAAAATTCCCACCCCAAAGTCCCGCTGGCCCGGCTCTCCCCACCCTCCACAACTTACCTTGGGGCGCAACGCACGCTGCCGCTAGAATCCCTTTCTCTCTCCTCCCTTCCAGAGCCAGACGCGAGGAGGAAAATGATGCGCATGTATATTTGTAGAGCATATTCTTCTAGAATTTCCCTTTGATCGTCACGAGGAGCGATGGAGGCTCCGGAGACAGGTGCGGTGGTGGCCGAGGCTGCCGGCTGAAAGTTGTTCTCTCCGCGGTGGGCGGCGGGGTCCCCCGGGCCGGGGCTGAGGACCCCGTCCCCCTGCCCCCCCACCCCACCCCCCCGGCGTCGCCCACTTCTCGCTGGCTGCTGCGTGCGGCTCGGCTGCAGGGGAGGTGGCGTAGTTTCTCTTCCTCCCACCTCTTCTCACTCACTTGTTTTCGTAGCCGTGGGCTCCCCTAATGCTTTCCTCTCCACAATGTTGTTTCATTATATCATGTCCATCATGTGACACCGGAGAGGCCTCTCTATGGAAACTTAAAGGGGCTCCCACGTGACTGCAGCAGCAACAACAGCAGCAGCGGCTGGAGTGGCCGCGGCCGCAGCGTTGCTACCACCACCCACCGGGAGCCCCTCGCAGCATCCCGAAGGGGCTTCTGGCGCTGCAGAAGCCCAGATACGGGAGCCACAGCATCCGGGAGCTGTGGCGTCTGTGCGTGCGTGTAGCCTTTGCTGTTACATAGGAAACCGAACAGAAGGAGCGTCCTTAAATCCTTCCCTACAGTCGCCAAACCCACGCTCCGCTAACATGACATTTCGTGGCTCCTACTTTATTCTCCCCAAGAGCAATGAGTTTTCTATCGGGTCTGATTAATTTTGCACAAAGTCGAAAAGAAAAACCGGATTCGTGTCTCTGCGAGTTCAGTCAGCTCTCGGGTAGAAAAGAAATGACAAAACAATAATAACAGAAATAGAATCGGGCGTTTGATACATAATTACCATCACCACCAGCTTTAAAGCTTTCTGGAATTACATTCCTCCGGTAACTGTTGATGATGCTCGCAGGAGGCTAAATGCAATGCAGTTTTTCTCTTCCGCAGCTATATTAGGGCTTTGTTGCTGACAACGGTAAAAACTTGTTTGTGTCAGGAAGTGAGGTACGTAGATGTGACCTGGAAGGTACAAACAAAACCAAAGTGGCAGTTTTTGCATTAGTTTTCTGACCACATTGTTTCAAATGGTGAGAAGCAGCTGTTTGCTGTAAAATGCTAGTAGCGTGTGTTTTGGTAGGAAATAAAATCATCAGAAAAACATGTTTCCCTTAATCATACTGTGCATGCTAGACACTAGAAAGTATATATATATATATATCATACACACATAATGTGTGTGTGTGTGTGTGTGTGTGCACGTATGTATGTCTACGTGAGTACAGAAAGAAAAAGAGCAGGTGCATTTTTAGGATAGTTTCAGCCAATAATTTTGTCATCATTTCCAGTGCATTTAACTGAAACATTTAACACTCTGACTTATTCAAATCCAGTGTTGTGTGGAAACTGTAACATCAGTTTTGAGTGCCCTCAGGATTACTGAATCACAACCCCTTTATGCGCTTAATGCCTTAAATCCCAAATCTCTGCCTTAAAGTTTTTGTGGACCGTGGAGATCTTATGCAGTAAATCCAACCTAAACAGCTACTTCTATGCTTTGGTTCATGCTGTTCCATTTATAAGGAAAACTCCCTGTTTGTACTGACGGAATTATGAAAAACTTCTCAGGTAACTAAGGGGTTGGAAGGAAGATCGTCTATTCCTTTGGCTTTGCCTGGACTCTATCTCTTTCCACCTCATCAGTTAACCTCATCAGCCATGATGAATGATCTCCACTACATCCCTTCTAATGCCTTAATATGTCCCCCTAATTTTTACCTTCCTATGGAATGCCTAATTCTTCCATCGAAAGGGATCGAAAGGCCCTTTTGTGCCCTTGTCTCCCAATTCAGCCCCCATGCTGCCTGGGTACTCAGCTCAGGCCTCCCCCCAGTACTCCCTCCCGGGCCTCCCTCCCCTGCAGCTTTCCCCCACCCAGCCACCCCCCACCTTCCCAGCTCCGTCTCCCTTCTCAACAACTCTCCCTCCTTACCTCTCTTTGACCTCCTTTATTCTCCTTCACAGCATGGCCCTTGACTTCTCGGCCTCTTCTTTCCCTGCAATGTGCTGCCCCTACTTGGGGTCTCCTTGGCACCCTTCTCTCTGGTCCCATCCCTTCTGACGCCAAACCCCAGCACTCCTCAACGGCTCGGCCTTGTCGGCTTTAGCCTCATTTTGCTCCCCCATGCCCCTGGGTTGGGAAACAAGTGTGAGCTGCAAAGTGGGGGCAAGAATCCCCCTCGGCGGTGGCCCCAGCCTCGCCCCCCTCCGCCCCTCCCGAGTCCCGGTTGTGGCGCTTCCTGGGCGGATGGTTGGGACTTGCTGCAGCAGCTGCGGTTCTGCTGTGTCATGCAAGAAGGAGGCGGCGGCGGCGGCCGGAGCTGGAGGGGGAGGAGGGGAGGAACCTGATCTCTCCGGTAGCGGAGGGCTGGAGGCAAACACCGAGCTCCCCCAGAGCCGCCCGGGAGCAGGGAGGGCACCGCTACCCGAGGGGCCCTCCCCGCGGGGCAGATGGTAAGTGGGGCGGCGCAGGTGGTCGCCTTGGGAAGGGAGCGCGCAGGGGGGTCGGGGGGCTGATGGGGGAGGCGGGCAGAACTAGGAGTCACCCGGCCAAACTGAAGGAGCCCAGTGTCCAGTCGAAAGGGACCCAGGCCATAATAAGGATGACCAGCCAAACGCAGCAGTAATTACCATTCTAATAACGCCCCGCAGTTGACCCAGGCTACAAAGAGGAGTTGCGCATCCCGAACCCAGGACAGAGCTAGAGCAATGATTCAGGGTTTGAAAACCATCGTCCCATCAGGCTTGGCGCTTTAGGGTGCAGCAGAGTAGCAGAAGTCAGCATACACCATATACCTATAGCCCAGCTGCGCTTTAAGGGTTGTCTTGTTTAAAACTAAGGAAGGGGATGGAAACCTGCCCAGCCTCACTTTAGCCACCAAAATAATGCTCTTGGCCAGTGGCCTCGGACAAACAGCCTCTGGTGCAATTAAACAATCAATAGGAAAAATAGCTTCATTCCCCCTCACCACCCTCCTTCCCCAAGCTCCTTCCACCAGGATAATGTATTCTGCATAAAATAGGGAAAGAAACCTATGTGTTATATTTCCTCCCATCCCACCTTCCCCGTCTCCAGCCTCTGCCCCGCACAAACTGCCCACCCCACTATTTACCCCACTTTCAGACTGCGATTGATGTTGCATGAGGGGATTGCCCTAAACTCTCGACGATTTCCCCCACAACAGGAGATTCAGAAACAGAACTGAGAGCAGTGAATGTGGGGGAAAGGCTGGGGCACCCAGAAACATCTTTTACCTGATAGATTTCTCAGGACAACTTTTTTTTTTCTCCAATTCTTTTCCATTTTGCTTCTGGAAATTTCAAAGCACTTTCTGAGATACCATTTTTTTTTAATGTCAGTCATACATTTAGAAGTAAGGGGTTGGCGGGATTAACTGAAAGGCTAATGACGGTCTCAAAAGCACATGCTGTTGCTAGGGAACTCAGCTCATCCTGCTCCGAACCCCTAGCATGTTCAGTGAACATCAAACTTCACAGGGTGTTATTAAAATGAGTGGCATTCGGTTAAAGGCGTTCTTCCTTGCGTTGTAGCATCCTGGATTATGATCGATTGCCTCACACCCACATATCTTGTTTTCCTAATTTGATTTCTGTATTTGCGTCACTGCCAGGGACACGCAGACTAGACCAGTCAGGTTCACTTCCTGTTTCTCAGAACTGGTTTATATTTGGTCTCCGTGCACTAGCTGGTAAAACATTATCAAACTGATCCTCTTGGAAAGAAATCTCTGCTTTCCGTGAAAACAAATTATCCTAATTAAATTCTAATTCCCATGGAAAACGTCATCATTTGAGGAATAAATTAGACTGCCAGTTACCATTTCAGAAAACCATTCTTGAAATGTAAATCCTCTGTAAACCCAGAATCCTCATTCCTCAGCATTTAGAACTAAAACAAACTCAAGTAGAGAGTAGATTTAAGGATGATATTTCTAAAATGAAGCTCAAAAAATACACATTGAAGCTGGGGAAACCATTTAGACTAAATAAGTCACGAAATTGAATGGAATCCAGGCCCCGGGAGCACAAATAAGGTTGGGTTAGCATTGGGGCGCTCAGAGGACAGAGTGTGATCACAGGGCTACCCTGCAAACAGGAACCCATTACTTTCTGCACTAATTGTCTCTTTTACCAATTCCCCCTGGACAAGATGGCTTTGCTTTCTCTTTTAAGGTCCTTCCTTTTTATGACAAGAATACTACAAAGGCAGTATCATAAAAATAAGCACTATGTAAATAGGGGGGTTCTGATGTAGATGATTTGTTCAGATGGAAAATAAAGAGGTGTGTGGAGGAAACCTCAGTCAACTGGAAGTCAGGAAATTTGCCCCTACCTCTCCTTTAGACTGGATGACCTTGGGCAAGCCACTATAGGTCTCCTCACATCGGTTTCCTCACAGAAGCTTAATGAAAGTGCTAGACTAAAGATCTCTAAGCTTCCTTCCATTTATAACGTTCTGTGATTATATTGAAGTCAGTACATAAAAATTTCAATTTTAGCTGGATTTTGCAATGTTAAATTTTAGCTCTGGAACTTGAATGCCCATCCACAGAGTCCTTGGGGGAAATGACAATGGAATGTGATTTGCTGTTGATACCTAATTTTTTAGTGTCAGTTGCCGGACAACCAAAATAAAATCAACCTTACTCCCGATGTACTTCCTCTCTGCTTCCTTGGTGGTGTTGTAGAAGCAACAGGATAAGAGGTAGAAAGGATATAAAAGGGTATGGAAAGACCTTTTGGTCATTCGAGATTTAGTTAACCCAAGTACTCTGATGAACAAAACCATGGAATGATGAGGAAGAGCTAAACAAAAAATAATCAACTGAATCCTCATGGTGCTAATAATCTATTTGTCTATATTTTCATTAATGACAGGAAAAACTACACCTAGTCCAGGTTTTCAAATTTTTCAGATCGAAGATGTTAAGAAGTAGCGTGAAGAAGGGTGAGATTTGTGCCACAGAGAAAAGACCTGACTGTGAAACGTAACTCTGCCACTTTAATTCATTCGTTATTGCATGCCTGCCATGTGCCAGGTACTGTGTGCCTGCTGTGTGTCAGGTACTGTGCTAAGCACTGGGAATACAAAGATGAATAGCACAACCTGTTCTGAAGGACTTACAGCATAACAAGGAGACAGATGAGGACATGGTTGATCACACAACCGTGAGATAACATCAACAGGGAGCTTATTAGAGAGGTACCTAACCCTGAGAACTTACCAGAGAAGATGAGTTTGGAAGGATAATTAGAAGCATGCCA